CGCCATCCACCTCAGTAGGGCCTTGCCATTGCCTGAGTCAGGGGAGGGGCGCAGCAGACACTAAACACTGACAACTAAAAAAAATATTTAAAAAGATTAATAAGTTATTATTTAAGATTCTTTTTCCTAATTTAAATTTTGGAAGTCTCAAAAGGTAGAAAACTTAAGAAAAAAATGTTTTAATTCAAATTTAAAACAGCTAATTTTTTCAGAACACATTGATAAAACTGGTTGTAAAAATAGAGATTTACTACTTTATAGCCAAGAAATCTGAGGAAAAAATGTTTACAACTTTACTAGAGCTCATCAGGAGACAGGACTCTCCATCCACCCTTCTTGGTACATTGATTTGGGACCCTAAAAATGTTTGCAGGATGGCTCTTCCTGTTTCATATATCACATCTAAATAGGACTATATATGAGCTCTAAAATACATCAGATTTTGTAACCTACACTTATACTTAATATTCTACCATAAACATTTCTTTCATAATAAATCTTTGCAATTTTTAATTTAAATGGTGGCATGTATTCCTTGCCCCCCACCAAAGTATAATTTATTCAATTTGTAATAAGCAGTATTCCTTTCATTTATGGACTACCTGAGCATTTAGCATTATATACCAGAGGCTTTGGATAAATATCTCTAATCCTTAAAACAATCTTGCAAGGTAGCTATTACCATTCTTATTTTACATATGACAAAACTAGAATTCAGAAAGATTAAGATTTACCTGATATTCCTGCTGGTAAGTTGCAGAACAGGGAATTTGAGCTCAAGGTGCATCCAATTTCCAAACCCAAATTCAAAAAATGTTTTTTATTCCACATCCCTTGGTGGGTGGGGGGAAAGGTTTAAAACCCAAAGGAAAAGGGAAATTCATAAACATAGAATTAACTAAGTTTATTACTCAGCAAAACCAACTAAACAAAATACTTGAATTCTTAGAGTATCTAGCAAATGGCTACAAAAATATAATGTATATTCAGATCTATTCATATGAAGTTAAAGCTACAGTTCATGATTATAATTTTAGTAAACAGCAGTTATTCGATGTGCATTAGTTATTATGTTGAGCTCACTCTGACATTCTGTTTTCTGTAATTTTTTTTAAAGAGAGAGTGAGAGAGAATTTTTTAATATTTATTTTTTAGTTTTTGGCGGACACAACATCTTTGTTTGTATGTGGTGCTGAGGATGCCAGGTGAGCGTGCTACCATTTGAGCCACATCCCCAGCCTGTGTTTTCTGTAATTCTTAATCAGGCTTACTCTATTCTGGCTAATTGCTCCCCAGCACTTCCTACAGTTGCCCCAATAGTGTGTGTAAGACACATAATCCATCAACTTCTTCAACATTCCTCAAGAAGGTTAGATAAAGTTCAGTTCCTCACAGTACCCAACTATAGAAAACTCCTAATTTGATTCTCACATAGCAAAATAAATTCCATTTAGCAACAGAAAATTCTGTGAAATAAATGTGTGAGTGTGTGTGTGCATGTATATAGTATATACATATTCTTGTATCGGTTTGGCTCATTTCATCAAATAGGTCAATCACAGTTTTGTTTTTGTTTTTGTTTTCTTGGTTCCAAAGGTATTAAGAAAACTGAATAGTATCTATAGGTGTCAGCAGTTAAGTGGAATGCATAAATTAAAAAGGATAAATAAAAGATCAGAGGGGATTCCTATAACCATAAATTCTAGAACAGACCAGAAAACAACACAGAGCAAAGTTTTCTGGCCAGCCAACCGAACTGGCAGAGACTAAGCCAAAGTGATTATGTCACTGCATTTCACCTTCTCTGAGGACAAATCCTTCTCCCCTCCCAGCCCAGGAACTAGTCCCTTGATCACAAAAATTTGGAGCAGTTTCAGGTACATTGGGTCCTACTCTAAGGTATTTTCCTACTCCTTTCCAGGATGTGCTAAAAAAGCTTTTTCAAGACACAGTGTCCTACCTCCTTTCCATGTCCTGTCCTCTCCTCTTGCTTCCTTTTCCCCAGTGTCATCCCTGCCTGTGGCACGGGTGCTTAAGGGAGAAAGGTGACAACATAAATAAGTTCCCTCTAGAAGAAGCACAGCAGAGCCAAACAGGAAATGATGTTGTTAGCTTTCCTCATGAGGGTGGACACATTGGAAAGAGCTGGTAGATGAGAAACTAGTGTCCCTTAGAGAGCAGGAAACATTCACAGAGTTCCAGCCCCATCCAATGTCCTCTGCTCTGATGCTCAGGGCTGGAAGAAAGCGCTCCTTGGTCTGTCTGTCCAGGCTAAGGCAGTGTGTAGGATGAGGACTACTGTGGTGCTTTCCCCCACCCCACCATAAACCTCTGGGAGGGAGAGGGGGGATTTCGAAGTTTGTTTTAGGTTGGCTTTTGTGACTATCAAGA